TAGGGGATAAAAATATACCGCTATGCCCTACGTGAATCTTTAAGTGTTCATAAAACTACATGCATTTTTACATATGCACTTGTTATAGAAATATAGGCTGGTGGTATGTAGAAATAGGATGATAGTGTCATGATTGTCATTTCGAAATGGAAACTACTTATAATACCCTTGTTTGAGCCACGTTATTTTTATTAGAATGCATTTTTTAATAGTATATTGATGAAAATGTGTAAATAAAAAATAAGAAAAAGTTTTGGATTTTCGTGTAATGTTATTTTACTAGAGAATGTGTGATTGAAATGATGTCAAATCACTGTTTAAAAATGTATTTTTTGAAAAAATGTGGGTCAAATAGAGTGAATGTTTGGAATGATTAATTTTGCCATTGTCTTAGAATCAATGAAACCATAACAATAGACTACTATTTTTTGTTATAATATTTATCACTAGTATCTTTTTTACTATTTTTCTTAGAAAATATAGAAATGGTGTTCAAAAATTATATATTATTAATTTAATAGTAATTAATTTCAAATCTATATTGTGTCATTTATTCATATCAAGTTTAAAAACGTAACAACGCTTATGTCGTTTTCATCACATTAACTACACTTGTGTTGTTTTGTTGTTTTCAAGTTGATTAAGCAATGAACATATTTTTTCAAATTTTGTAAGTAGTATGTCCATCTTGTAACTTATTAATTATCAGGACACGAAATGTTCGCGGCTGCTTATACTCATTTTTATAGGCAGAACGGCACAAGTATCGTTTCATTATCAGTAATGGCACTTATACAATTCTGTTGATTTCTCCAATATTTTCTTTCTTTTCCAACGCAACAATCTCAAATCCACATTTGCCTCTTCATCCTGTGCATTGCCTATAATACAAGGACCATCATCAAATTCACTTCTTTTGGACTAGACATATATGGTTAATCCGATGTCCTAAGACATTGCAGATGACTGGAACTTGGTGGTGCATCATCACTCTCAGATTTTTTCTGCCATCATCCTCAGCCGTGACATTATCCAAGTCAAGATCCGCATCATCATTTAAAGGTCCTAATTCTAGCCAAAATGGCTTCAACAGTTCATCATCAATAGGATTTAGCGTACAATGCACTTCAATCTAAAAAAACAATAATGTATAATTATTCAGAAAATTTTTTAGTTATAATTATCAATACGCTATGTAGATTTTAAAAAACAAAACTTACATTTGACGATTCCAAAAATGTGCAAAGTATTTCCTCCCTAAGCTACTTGCACATTTTTCAACCTATCATTCTTGGAATCTAGAATCTTTAGTCACACGATCGAATATTTTTCCAACACTAGGAATTGCTTCAAATGCCCAAATATATACAATCATAAATTTAATCTTGAGTAACATAATTATATATAAAAAAAAAAGTAATGTATAAAATAGTTTTAGAATATATTACCATGATTGTAAGGGGAAATCCATGTAAAGAATACGAATGTTGTTGAGAATCTATATGATTCTTCAATGATTCTCTCAACTTACGTTTAAACACCCTAATTGTGTACTCCAACAACTCCCCCCCCCCCCCATGAATAGTTATTAAATCTATTAATATCATCCACTAAATAAAACTAACATATGTTAATATATGTATTCTCCTCAGACGACAAAAGTACATACACCAATATTACGAGGTAGCCCAACTTGTATTTATCACTCTTATGCTTGCTAAGTTTAAAAATTCTAATAATAAACTCTTCTTTATTTTCTCGCTGCTGCACTTGAAATCTTCTTTCATGAGTCTACAATTCTACCCTAGCGTCGCATCCTCGTCCTCCAAATCTCCAACTTTAAATCTGGTCTTCTTGCAATTCAAATCTTGCAAGATTGTCTCCAGTTTGAATCTATACTTCATTTTCTTTTTGAGGTACTCATCGACCTCAAAACTAATTGGTGGACCAATTGTGATGCAAACTTTATGTACTTCAAGATCAGCAAATGTCCAAAGCAGGAGTTTGTATATAGGTCTTGTATCTTATCATCCAAGTTATAGAAAAACTTCTTCAATCAATTTCATTCAATACTTATTACTAACAATATCTTGAACATCCATTTTTACCTGGTGTAAAATGCAAAACAATAATTGAGTTCATAATTTTATTTCTTAAAGCAAGTATTTAACAAATTTAGACAAAAATAACAACTTAGAAGCTATAAGAGACACAAAAGATAAATAAATTTATCTATATCTAAAATTTATGCTCATTTCATTGTAAACTGTATTTCTCAAAGGCAAATCAAGTGTAATCATGCTAAAGTACTAAAGTTGTATACAAATGAAAACATACATCTACTTGCCATCAAAGTTAAGAAAGCAACATGGATTATTCAAAGAAGAGGGATATAATGTTTTAGCTTGTTCATTTTTTAATCGCAACATAGATTCAAATCCTTGTTAATGGTGAATATCTTCTTCAACCATTTCCCAACCTGGATCTCTTTCTTAATCTTATACGTTTCCGCATAATCAAGCATATATGAACTACCAAATGGTCGTTTTCGGCTCTAGGGGAAGAGTTCGTTCTTAAGCTTAAAAGTATTTTATTTCTTTAATTGAATATAATTCTATATAATTGAATATTTGGTAGATTGAAAAAGAGGAGATGAAAGAGAGCTAGAATACAAAACAAGTACCCACTGAAGCTTTACATTTACATTCTAGATAGCTTACACCACCTACACCATCTCTACTTGTTAGCATATATTCTCAGTTCCCATTACCAATTTTAGTATGAACATGTAGGTGTCTTAGTAGTTTTGTTTCCTCTACCTTCATCTTATGGTTAGTTTATCCTTAACATCCAACAATCAAAACTATAAAACATAGCAAGGACTTAATAAATTTATTATGTAAATCTAGAATGCA